TGTGTGTGTGTGTGTGTGTGTGTGTGGGTGTGTGTGTGTGTGTTGGTGTGTGTGTGTTGGTGTGCTTGTGTATACATGATCATATTATTGATTATTTTCTCCCTCCTCCCAAACACACATCTCAGTTTTATCTTAGAATAGAATACAGTCATGTAGTTGATTGGAAACCCCTCAAACTGTATTTTGAGATTTATTTTTCTGACATTATTCAGTAGGTTATTTGTAAGGTCAAAATTTTCATGAAAATTGCCACGGACTACTCCAGTCAACAAGAATAGTAATAGCTGCAGATGACAATCGAATCCATTTCTGATTGCCTCGTGTCTAACAGACAGAAAAGAATACAGAGAAAAAAATAAAACGCAGCAGCACAAATCGGCTGTCGCATCATGAAGTAGCTGAATCAAAGAAGAACTAGTTTCTTCCAACCAGCCATGTAGTTCAGTGCTATCCTGAAAAATGGATGTCGTCATTAAAAACTGGATGGGGACAATTTGGAATTGCTGAGTAGGACCTAGAGGATTTTCAAATAAACCGTCTATCGAATACTACAGGATAAAGTTAGGTAAATAAATAAAATCCGTCAAAAAAATGAACCACATGGCATACCTCCGATCATTATGAAGTATTTTTTGAACGATCAAGGATTCAACGTTTTGCGCACAGCTTTAGTTATTACCTATCTGGGTGGTAAATAGTCGGTCAACTCACGGCCGATATTCACATCATTCCGTCTCAAAGGAGAAAAAAGAAAAGCTTCTCATTGGCTCCACGTCATTGTTATCGAAGTCTTTAGGATACATCGTAAATAGTGCTTTTGAAGATGTCTTATTCTGTGGTGATGTCGTAGAGATGGAATATAACCTGAAGGTGTGAATGAGGATGTGAATCTGGTGGCAACACTGATGCGTATATTGATCGAGCATAATCGATTGTTGTTCCAAGTGCGACCGTTTGAGGTGTAGCTTATGACTTCCATTGCAGCATTATGCTACGAAGGTAAGCAATGGCTCAACCATTGATCCCGCAGTGGAAGGGGACAAAGAAAAACACAAACGCGTACGCGTACTTGCAAGATAAACAACCAATATGCATGTCATGGGAATTGAGGCGTGTGTGACCAAGGCACGTCTCACAATCGTCTCCCCGCGCTTCAATAGGAGGTGGAGAAATCTGTAATACATANGGACAGCTTGAATTGCAAAAGGTATAGAGTGTTCGTTGAGCATCCCTCACATCCACCGCAAAGCGCGTTCAGCTGTCGATACCAGTACACTCAACTGCACGCTACGTAGAAGAGAGACAAACTGGTTGATATGTACTTTCTGAACTCTAAGAACGCCTCCAACTCTCTTTCTATGACTGTGCTTTTCGCCTCGGTAAATCCGTGCACCATTCTTTCCAGCTGAGCGGGGTCTTATGTGACTACACCTTTTCCCATCAAGTATTAGCCAAGAAC